CTGGCTCCCAATAACAGCCGGCCTTCCCCAGGGAACAAAACTTGGCCCGATATTGTTCCTGGTAATGATTGACAACTTGAATATCCCTGATCCCGAATCCCGTACTTGGAAGTATGTAGATGATGTATCGCTGTCCGAAGGACTTATAAGGAACAGCAACTCAAACATCCAAACCAGCCTCAATAGCGTCGCCTCTTGGAGCCACAGCAACTGGATGAAACCTAACGCTAAAAAGGGCAAAGAAATGCGGCTTTGTTTCCTAAAGGAGCCCATAAATCTCCCCCATTTGAAGATCGATGATCAACAATTAGAGCTTGTAACCTCACACAAAGTACTTGGTCTGGTGATCCAGAATAATTTAAAATGGAACAATCACATCGAGTATATTGTCACCAAGGCTTCTAAACGACTTCAAATACTCCGATTACTTCGTCGAGGGAGCGTTGAGATTAATGATCTAATTACTATCTATATCGCCTTGATACGATCCTTACTTGAATATAGCTGTGTCGTATGGCATCATGCTCTGCCCTCTTACCTCTCACAAGAGTTAGAACGTATACAGAAACGTGCACTCAAAATCATAGTACCTGCGTATTCCCACTCAGAAGCCCTTCAATTCCTAAATTTAAGAACATGAGACGAGAGACGTAGTGAACTCTGTGTTAAAACTCTTGAAAAGATCTCAGAAGAAGGACCTCTCATTAAACATCTCCCAATGACGAGATAGCGCATGCATCACTATCAAGGAAGATGCGCTAACAAATATACATCAACTAAATGCAGGACTGAAAGATTGCGCCGTAGTTTTTTCTCAAGTACTAGTTTAGCTTTCAACAATCAATAGATTTTTAGACCATATACCTACATATATATTTTAACTTATATTTGTAATTTTAATACAAAATCTATTGTAACCCAGTCCTTTTTTGATTAACAGTCTGTAATTGTTATAGTTGTACATTTGTAACCACATTGTAATTCAGATTAATTGCGATGGTGGTGGAATTAAACTTCTTTTTATTATTTTTATTATTATTATTATTATTATCATTATTAATAGTAATTCTCCTTACTGTCTGCTTGTCTGCTATAAATTCTTGTAACGTGAGTTTTAAGAATTTGGTATTGCATTAATTAATAATACCCTAACTGATATTTTTCTTTGTTTTCATCACTTGTCTGCCTGATATTGTATTGATATTGTAGAGAGAAATTCTGTCTTGATCACTAACGGGAATTAAAGGCTTAAAACAAACTTAATGCCACAACACTCTAAGCAAAAAGAACCGGGCATAGTTTGATAAATCAATCCAGAAATGAAAAGGAGAATAAGGAAATAAGCAACAAGTGCCAGAACAGTAACAAATTTCTCGGCTTTTCTGTTAAAGACACGATCAAGAAACTATCATGGCGGCTGCCGCTGAGGATTTGTCTTATGCTGTGCTATGTGATCTTGCTCGCCCTTCTTACACTCCACTCTGTAAATTAATTTTAATAGGGTAACAACGAGAAATGCGAACACTGCACATCTATTCAAAATATCTCAAAACATAGGTTATTTTACCTGAAGAAAAGTCGTTACACAATTCAAGTGTAGAGGAATGGTGTAGAGACTATCTTACTGACCGTCAGCAGAGAGTCGTTGTAAAAGGGGAAGTATCTGATTGGCTAACAATTACCTCTGTTGTGCCTCAAGGCTCCCTGTAGGTATTTTTTTTTTTTTATTATTTAAATCTATGATTTGCCAGGGGTTATCAGTAAGGATAGTTCAATTGCTTTATATGCTGATGATAGCAAATTATATAGGATTATTAATTCTCCAGAGGATATGTCATCTTTTCAGGCTGACCTGAATAAGATTTCTGACTGGTTTAAGGATAATAAAATGAAAATTAATACTAAGAAATGTAAGATCATGAGAATCACAAGGAAAAAGAGTCCTCTGGTTAGGGATTATTACATAAATGATCAAAGTTTGGAAAGTGTACATATATATAAGGACTTAGGTCTGCTCACTAGCTCTAATTTATCATGGAATTCACATATAGATTCTATAACTGCTAAGGCTATTAAAGTTCTTGGTTTGGTTAAAAGAACGTGTATGGATTTTAAGGATATTACTACATTAAGAACATTATACTGTAGTCTTGTTAGACCATTGCTAGAGTATTCATGTGAGACCTGGAATCCTCACACTCAACGTAATATTAATAGAATAGAGGCAATTTACAGGAGGGCAACCAAGTTTATCCTAAAGTCTAACGAGAATTATAATATTGGACTAAATAATTAGATTTACAAAGTTTATATAATAGGAGATTTATCAGGGATGTTGTATTTTTTATTTAATTAATGAAAGGGCATTATAATCTTGATATTTCTGATACGTTGCTATTTTGTTAATGAACGTAATGTAGATTATAATTTAAGAAAAAAATGACTCTCTTGACCTTGTTAGTATAGTAGAACTAATAGTTTTAAATATAGTTATTTTATCCACATTATCATTGAATGGAATAGCCTACCCAATCATATAAAAGAATCTGTTAGTATTTCTGGTTTTTAAGCATAAAGTTATCATTTCTTGGTAATACTTAGTTCTACTCTTAGAACGGATTATAATGTAGAATTTTAGATCTTTTAATTTTATATTAAGATTATTTGATATTTTTATATATTTTCTTTTAATTTTATATTATAGATGTTTTCTTTATCATATTTTAGTTTACTGAAGAGCATCCCTCGTATGGTGTCTGGTGCGCTTTTTGGATGCTTCCCTCTCTACCTTTATCTTAATTTAAAGTTATAATTTTATGGTTTGGAGAAAACTGTAATAAATAAATAATAAATATATAAGTTATGAATTCTCGAAGTCGAATCTTACCCACTCCACTCAGCAGAAGAAACACTCGCCGATCTTGACAAAACTGACGATTTCCGGTCGTGATATTGTTTCTTGAATCCATAGAAGTCGGAAAAGACGCTGAAATTTCTCGTAATTCGAAAGCTCTATCCACGCGAAAGCGCAAATATATGACAAATAATTTAGAATATTATTTGTAATTCGAACGAATTTTCCCGCTTTCAAAGGCGGATTCAAAATAGTCGACACCGATCTCCTCAGTCGGTTTCGTTCCATTAAAAAGCGAAGTATGATGCCAAGGTGAAGGCTGGTTTTGAAGTTAGTGAAGTTCAGTGGGCAGGTGCAACTATTCTTTCTTGGATTTAGAAATGTTAACACGAACCTAGACAATTTTCTTTTCCGGGAATTCGAAATGCTTTGAAAAAAGTCTGCACACGCGCATGAAGAAAAGAAGTCATCTCATTCTAATTACCATTGTCATCGCAATACAGTCTACATGATCTCAACTTCAACAAGTCCTTAAGAAACTTAATGAAATTACAAACTCCGTTCTTCATTACCAGTTCACCCATGATTTAAATTTATCTGTTTGTTTTTTTTAAGGAGATTGAAAACCAACAAAGCCACTAGTAGCAAATTTTAGAGCGCAATATTTAAAGTACTATTTTTCTACCAGCTATTTTGTCCCTAACGCCGTTCCTGCACTCTGCTTACAATTTTCTTTTCCTGTAATATAATTTCAATATTTACCTTTAGCCCTTTGACGTTGCGTCGGTACCAAAAAGCACATGGTTTTTAGGTTAGAAGAGATCTATGTTTTAGTAGGGTTTTCTATTCGAAACTCAAGAGTTTTTCCATTGTGAGGAGCGCGAAGGAAAGCTTTGCACGTGCAAATCGTGCAAGTCTGTCGTTTGCGTTGCTCTAATTAACGAAGGAGAGTGGCCAGGTTTTTTTCCGTTACACAGTTTCATTGAGCAAAACTCATGATAATGATATAAAAAAAAACCTCCTCCATGTCTCAGGGCCGAAGAGTCAGGCGTGCGAGATATTTAATCTTTGAAAGCTACGCGAATTTCGCTCATGTGAGTCATTTTGACTAATAGTTAAAAACGAAAAAATGTTCTTGAAATGTTTAAGTCTTTTAACTTTCCATCTCATCTACAGTTAAAACGAATTCTCTTTAATTTCATATTGATAACTCTGTGTGTGCTCTTTACATAAATTGTTGTGACGGTCTCCACTTTCGCACTTCCAAACCAGGACACCCCATAATCATCACCATGACGTCGTTCCTTGCCCCTCCCCCCCAATCCTTCTATCATCTTTGAACAACAAATGGGCAGGATCTAACTTGATACGCCGATCGCTAAATGAGGAGAGCAACCAAATTTCTCTTCGATTTACAGACTTACACAGAAAGAACCACGATTTCTTTTTTTTAGGGCCAACACTTGTTGAGAATTGAATCGGTGTTTGCTCCATACTATTTTCAAGCTGAAAATGTTCACGAAGAGGCATGCCAGTGTTAGTCAACCAAACGTTGTTGTTATTTTGAGTATAGGGAAACGTTAAGTTCATTCAAGACTATTCGTCGCTAAAATCCTACTTTCAAACAAGCGTAGAGAAAATTCATTGTATCAATTACTTTGAAGAGATAGGTCTTATTCGACAAAATGAATGAGAATGTTTCATTAAGCTGTTCAATTGTATTTAATATGTTAATTTCGAACATCATTACAGAGCATACTCTTAATAATGTTTTACGAGAGTAGAACGAGGAGTACATGTACGTCGCAATTTATCCTCTAGTTGAAAAAAAAAAAATAAAATGCTCTTTTTCCTTCTTTCCCTTTGTTCTTTTGCGTGTGGTTGGTTGTGACGTTGTTAGTAAACTCTCGTCATAAATATAGAATATACAAAACAAACTAACAAATAAACAAACAACAACAACACACTTGGGAAACAAACATTCCTTACATGGAATTTTAACTGTTAACGTGCAACTTTTCTTATACAAGGAAACTTTTGATTCACAGTTCGGGTTCAATCAATTCGTAGACCAGGGCAAGCCTGTTTTGTTTGTTTCACTTTGTGTTCCATTTTTTTTAACATATGAGGTTTTTTAGTAGACCACTGAACATATTTACGAACCACATCTGGTTTCCTTTTTTTTTTGGAGAACATTTTCTATACCAAACAAGACAATCCTGGTGGTATTTGAACCGTTGTCATGACAAAACAGTTTTCTAGTGTACCAAAGATAACCTTGCCACCCTGTTTCTGAAGAATACTTGTCATGAATCAGGATTGTCACACCAGGGTGTCTGCTCTAAATCGCAATTCAAGTGAACGTTTAAGATCGTACAGGGCGCTCCATTGATGTTAAGATTAGTCCGTTTTTCAACTCTGTAATTCAATGTGGTTAGTCCCGTTTCCCTGTCTCTCTTGAATGACTCCTGAGGTTAAAAGAGGACAAAAGTAAGACTGGCATTGTTTGAGTAATCAGAGCTTAAATACAGTGCTGCAGGAGTATGAAAAAAGAAACCTTACCAACATGATAAATACCTGGTAACGGATTGATCTTTCTAGGTTGCTATTGCAGAAAAAACGAGTCTGAAAAAATGCAATCTTCGATCCCAGGTTCAATTTGTTTCTTGATATCAAGTATAAATACAATTTAATACATAATAATTTTGCAACAGCAGGATAAGTAAATAACATTGTTGAAATGAAGTTTGCTATGAATAAGAAAATAAGTAGATAACAATGTAAATCAAGTCGGTGTGATCGTTTGGGTGGAAAAGTCATGATTCTGTAGATGATTTCCATTCAGGTCGCAGTGATATCAAATGATTAGAGGGGGTAAGTTTCTATAGAAACTGTGGTGCTGCGTCGGTGGGAGAGTATAACAGGGTAATTAAGTATTATCAACTGAGTTGATAACGTAAATTGGCCACCGTAAAGAGTTTAAAAGCTAACGTTTTGAGGGTTAGCCCTTCGTCAGAGCGATTGATGTCAGTCTCGCTCGGACGATAAGTTGTCAACAAGAGATGCTTCATTACCTAAGTTAATTTGTTTCCGTTTAGTTTAGCTTTTATTTTTTCTTATTCACGGCGGAATTGATAAATATAAATTAAGGGTTGCCGCGAATCGAGAAAAGTTGGCCTTACGTAAAAGAGCAGATCCACAAGACGCTTGCGCGCAAGCTCTCTTGGGGAACAGGGGGGAAGGGGGTTTGGAGTAGACGGCAGGGAAAGACTTCTTTCTTCTTCTCTTCCCCCCCCCCCTCCTTTCCCGCAAGAGAGGTTGCTTGAAAGCCACTTTATATCCTACTATCCTGTGTAAAACGCGAAGTTTTCTTCATGCCTCTAACATATCATGGTAGCCCACCTTTTTCTGATTAAAAAATCTTGCATAATCTCTTTTTCTTTTCTTGGAGTCATGGTCATGCTTGAAGGTGTCATAACCGGTGGTTATCTTTTTTTTACTATGTCGATAAATCTGAAAAAGAACACCACACTGATTAATAACACCAGCAAACGTGAAAAAAAAGGTATTAACGGTGTAAGTAAAGAAAAACATTTGTTCTGATTGGTCAATAAAGCATTAACTACCGTCGAACCTCTCCGCAACGGCCACCTGAGGGACCGAGGAGGTCGGGAAGGGGAGGTCTTGGCTGGTACAAGGGTATAGGAAGTCGTAAGGAGGTATAATATGACTCCTGTTGTGGCTTTTAGATGGGTATAAACTTTTAAACCTATAACTATATTACCAAAAAGTTGGGAAACGGGTTGACAAATAAAATGATCAAGATGAGGTACAGACAATGACCACTTTTAGCCTTGAATGAATTTCATATACAGATACGTAATACGTTCTCGTTAGAGGAATGAAAAAAGTCAAGGATTGTCAGCTCAAGGGACTTAACACACATTATGTTTCACTGTTCCTCAGTAGTTGTTGGTCTGGCGAGGCCCGTCACAGGCGGTTACCTTTGCGGAGAGGGTGGTCATTGAGGTGGTCATGATTAGGAGAATTTGATTAACAAACAAGAGCTTCTACTGTTAGAGATCATTCTCGCTATAATTCTCACAACTTAGATGTTTTATTCAGGGGTGATACCCTTTAACTCCCAAGATTTGATTGTTAATTCTCCTCTGTAGCTGCTACACATTTCCTTGTAAATTAGTTATGAGAACTTGGTGCTAGATCAATACAGTAGCTTCTACCTGACAAGTTTGAATATTCTCATCACCTGTTTGCTGAAGAATGTATAGATATTGTAGGGAGAAGTTTTATGTTAATCACTTCTGGGAGTTAAAGTGTTCAGGAGACACTAGAAGTTTTTCGTGGCTTAATAAAGGTTTCAATGTACTTGGATAAAAACATTGCTGCGACTTACAGTTAAGCCAGCTTCTTTCATTCTCTGGTACAGCTCATCATCTTCTCGACCCCAGCCCCAAAATTTGTTGGAGAGCCCATTAACCTAGAAATAAACAAAACAACAATGTGTCTGGACTGAACTTAAACTTAATGGTTGTCAATTGAGGGAGTTTTTAATGAAAATTTAGCAGCAAAATAACCTAATGTTGACTCCAAATTATGCCCTCAAATAAAACCAAACCAAGAGATTGATATATACTCATTTCCTGTACTGGTTTTTAGCATTTCTCATCAGTTGTTACAATCTGTGTCATGGCAGATGACACAATAAGGTATTATGAGTGAGATAATATTTGCCCCCAATTCCTTACTTTGACTGTCTCCAAAGTCTTCATACTACATGGAATGAGGAAAGGAGGCATTAAGTTTAAGTGTAATAAATTTGAAGCCTTTACCCTGGAATTTGGAATCAAAAGTGGCCAGAGGCTATTAACCCTTTACACCCAAACATCAGTTTGGTTATTCTCCATAATGTTCTTTCTTTATTTTCTAAGGTGCTAACATGGAGAATTTGTTTAAAAATCAAAATTTTTTTTAGTTAGTGATCATTCCCTTTATTCTCTTGACTTTTATGTGTGATAATCAGGTGATAACATGAGGAGAAATTAGATGCTGGTCAATCTTAGGGGTAAAAGGGTTAAAATCAATGATGATAGATGTTGAATAACATCAGCTCTTTAACTAAGCCAAAGAAAAATTCTGAGACACACACAAAGGGACAGAAAGATTCTTTTGGTATACATGCTTATGGCAACTCTTTGACATCTTTCTTAGGTGCATCAATATTTGATTCCACAGGTAGTATTACTATGAATTCTTCTATTCCTACATGTATACAGAAAATTTTTCTTTACATGCCTACAAAATTTGACTCACCTTTTCAAACTGTGCAATTGACATAATTAAAATTCCACCTACAAATGTTGGATAGTGATATTTTGGATGTAGGAAGGGTGCTGATACATGAAAAGGTCCTCTGTCAGGAAATCCATAATATAAGTCCTTGTTAAGAGGAAGGAGATCCACATCATGCATAGCTATATAGTCACAATGATTTCCTCTTGCCTCCAAGAATCCAGCATTTAAAAGGGAAGCTCTATTGAATCTGTGAGAAAAGAAACAAAAATAAAGTCATGCATTGAAGGTAATGATCTGCATGATCAGCAGGTATGTTAGAGAAGCAGGTAATTTAGTGTTAGCAACTGAGTTGAAAATGTAAATTGACCACCTTAAAGAGATTAAAGGCAGATGTTTTGAGCATTAGCTCTTTGTCAGAGTGATTGATTATATTAGAGAAAGATGTACATGTTACTTACTTGCCATGAGTGTAGGTTTTGACCTTCAATCTTAGTTTCACTCACTGGCACTTGGCTAACATGTTGGTGAACTATACCATACTACAGTATTCCAGCAAAAAGGACTTATTCTATGTTTATATAGATGGACAAACTGTACTAGGTCATGTGAACAATTTTCTGTTCCAACCACTTACCTATGCTTATCAACTTGGTTAACAATAAATATTTTGTGTCTGACTTTCTTGTCATTTAAATACTTGTGCATATGGGGAACAAATTCAAGCAGCTCCTCAAATCTGTCCCTGTAAGGAACAACCAGTCCAAGTTGATGTGGTCCCCAATCCTTTTCAGGAAGTCTCTCTTCTCTAATGATACTTTCTAAAATGAAATTTCCAACCATAAAGACATTAGCCTTTTCAAACAATATCTTGTGAAGTTTTCCCGGAGTAAGGGAGCTTGGATGCTATTACAAGGAAGATAACAAACAGGTAATACCTGAATACCTGTTTCAAATCAAATAGATTAAAGACTGGCCCTAAGAGTACAGATGGAGAGTCACAAAAAAAGTTGTAAATTGAATCAAGATCCTAGATGAATGGAACTCCATTTCTAAAATCATTATGCAAAGTTACATAAAGCTGATCCTCTGAAACTTAAGCTCTCTGATAACAGAGGATGAGAACAGATTACAGAAACAAAGAAAATTAGGACGAAAAAATTTTTTATACATGTTAGAATAATACTGAGGGGAAGTATAGTTCAAATTATTTGTTTAATAAGATTCATATGAAAAAAATAGAGATACTTGCTGACAAAATGAAATAAAATGTATTTAGGGAATACTACACTGTACTTTGACAGATGGATTCAAGTGACAAAGATTGCCCTCTACTGGCAAAAAGGCCTTGGAAGGTAAAGGTGTAGACATGGCTTATGGAAGAGAATTGAACTACAGTTTTGTTAAGAAGAAAGAGGAATAAGAATGACAACTAAAAAGAACATTATATATAATTCACAATGTCTCTTAACTGCCACATTGGAAATTAACAAAGGGAAGTATTATTGGATGAGAAAATTAAATGGAACTAGAAGAAGCAATCAAGAAAAGTTAAGTTAAGTTAAGTTAAGTTAAGTTGGGGCATCAAACCCTGACCATGTTTGAGACCAAATCTATTAATTTTGCTTCCCATTTTAAAGGAGAAGTGAAGCCAAAAATTTCATTAAAAATATTACTTTCAGTGCATGTGAATGACTAGCTGTAAAGGAATAGAATGAAGTTTTGGTTATCATTTTGTTTGTTTCTTGTTCATAGTAAGAAACTTTAACTTAAACTTACCTATCTCTTGAGTGGTGGGGAAATGAAAGATCTTACTGAGTAACATGCAAAGGCCACATATCAGAGCACATTGAGCAAATTGCCTGTATTTGCCAATTTTGAAAGACAATGACTAAACTCAAATCAATGTGTTAATAAATCACTCATACTGCTGACCACCCTGCTAATTCATGTGCCAATCTAATTTAAATAATGAGATATGTAACAATTCAGTCTCTGATGCAACTCATTTAGATGCAACTAAGTGGAGAAATACTCTGAAGTTTAGCCATAACTTTGCTGATGACCTGTGATCAACATGTAGTTCTTGTATTTCTCTTAAATATTTCACCGTTGATTTTATTATGTTACAAGCCCAGGAAAATATGATTCAAGGCCATATATACACCACTATTAATTAAATTACCATATGTAATTACTAATTACTTTCCTTTGTACGATTATATTTTTGATTAGTCCATTTAATTTTTAGTAATAAACTGTCTGTTTTAATAGTAAGAAGCGGAGCGTTAAACAAACAAATCAATGCCGACACGTCATCAAGAGCGCTAACGAGATTTTTACGTCCACGCGACGATAATAAAGTTCGCAAGTAATGTATTACAAACCATGACTGTACGTACCCTTTGCAGGAGTTTGGACGGAATCTCCGTTTGCTCTTTTTTGTTTCTCTGCAACCATTTTAAAATTGTCGTCTGAGTGTGGAAAGTCGTGTTCATGTGCAGAAAACCTTGCGCTCTCGAAATATTGACGACAATCACAGCCATTTTCATTTAAGTATTTCATCGATATCCATATTGTCCCAACAATCGCGAATGTTAGATAGAAAAACATTCCAATAATGACTCCACGGGGTACAACAGCCATCTGGAGACCACATCTAGTTAAATTCCAGTTTGAAATTCTGTATCAGTAATATCGGCTGGTTGAGAAGTTGCGTCCGATAACAGATGCTGAACACATTTCTGTAGTAGACATAGCATTAATTCAACTGGTTTTAAAGTAGTGAAAGAGTAAGTTTGTCCTCTTTAGATAATTTTCCCTTTCCCCCATGAATTGATAGTGGTAAAGATATTATTTTGGCACGATGGAGCCAGTGCACAATCCCCCGATTTCTTCCTGTTTTCGAGTAAGTCCTCGAAGCCCGCAGATATACAGCGGGTTCTAACGGTTTCTCGAAAATATGTGGTATAATTGACATAATTGGAATCGACTGGAATAAACTATCATAGCGCATGAGCAGTGTAACTCCACGTGGAAAGCCAGAAGATCGTGAAACCTGCCGAAGTAGAATTCTTCGTAATAATGGTTTCTTTTATATGTAATGTATGTGGTCAAACAGTCCGAAAAGCTCAGGTAGAAAGACACTATCAGAACGACTGCCGTAATTGCGAAGTTCTGTCGTGCATCGACTGCGGGAGGGACTTCCATGGTGATGAGTACACCTCGCATACATCGTGTATAACTGAGGCAGAGAAGTATCAAGGAAAGCTCTATAAACCAAAGGATAGACAGAATAAAGGTGAACACAAGCAGCAAGAATGGCTTAAGGTGATTAAAAGGATGACAGTTTTCACATTATCAGTAGTCAATTCTAACGGCGACTCCATCCAGTGGAAGTTTTGTCGCTTATGATTAGAGTTACACGTGAGCATTGAAGTAAGCTTAATGTGGATCTTCAGTCCATTAACTTCTGAGATTTGATTTTAGATTGTGCACATCCTAACTCTACCCTAGGGCTGTTACACATCTCGTAAATCAGTCTCGAGAATCTGGTTTTTGATCAAGATATCAAGTTTGAGTGTTCTCATTTTCAAGTTTTCATGTATGTTATTATTTAAGGAAAAGTTACATTTAAATCTCATCTGGGAGTTCAAAGTTTAAACTTTGACCCTTTTTAACCAGAGAACTCAATGCTTTGTATCAATTCTTATATTAGGGCAATTAAGGGTTGTGATTCTTAAACCTTGACAGATACAGCCTTTAATGTGTAATATATGAACTAGAACGTCAAATTCTTTTTAGGTGTAGAGCTGCAGTACAGCATGTCTTTTTGCAGTACTTAGACAATCCCTGTGGTGATGACTTAACTTAGGACACCTATGATAACCTCAAAGAGGATGATTTAACATAAGTTATTGTATCTGAACAGGGAAGTAATCTTTAGATTGATAATTGAAGATAGTTTTCCTTTTGCTTTAGTTTTACTGCAGATTTCCCTTTTGCATACTCAAAGAAGCGATTAATATTTTTTCATTTTATCACACTTTTTTATAATAGTATTGCACTTGTATTCCCAAATTTAAAACTGGATTCAAGTGTGTTTTATGGTTTAATTGTAACCCCATAAATTATGGTTCCTTTGGAGAATACTTCCAAGCATCAGTTTGATTTTTAAACAATCTGAGATGAAAAGAAACATTTCTTTTTCTGTCCTTTTTATCAGCAAGTGAGAGAGGCATCAAGATCCGAAAAAGTGGATCCACGTTTATCTAACCTTCTGGACAGAATTAGTGAATATTCCAATATTCCAAGAAAGAAAGTTAAATTCCAAGTAAGTAAGATATACATATATTTGTAATAAACTTGTAACTAGTGGTTGTACAAAATGTTAAACTCATCAAATAAGTTTTCACCATGGCTTATCATTGAGGAAAAGGGAGATGAAGTAACCTGATCATTTTTCTTGGACAAGAAGGTTGACTCTGTTAGGAAACCCTAGCAAAATGCTAATAGACAGAGCTACCGAAGAGACTTCTTGCCACTTCCTTCAAATGAAACTGGATAAAGTTCTCGCAGAACTTTGCACTGTCTTTTGTTACTGCATGTTTTATTTATCATGGGAGAAAAGGCTGAACATTACTTAAAATTGTTTCTCTCTCTCTTTCTCTCTCTCTTTTTTTTTCTTAATTTTGTCCATGTGGTGATGACTCAGCTAAGGACTCTTATACATTATTTTTCCAAGTTGATGATAGAGAGCTAGTCCAGTTCCTTTCTAAGTGTATTTTTGATTGTATCGTCAGAATTTCTGCAAGAATAGCATTGGTGTGCGAGATGATGCAACTTTGGACAAGCTGTGGAACCTTTTCTCAGAGAGTACAAAGGTAAGGAGATTCCAAAATAGGTTATGCAGTCACTTTTGTTGCACGAGTAATGATAGGTTAAGCCATTTCTTTAATTGACTAATACTAACCATCTTTAATGGTTAGTATGCATAACAGGTAATAAAAAGAGTCTGGGTTTGAGTCAAGATGAGGGTCATTGGGGTCTGCACTTAGCATGGATCTTAACTTTTACAGTGCCTCTCTCCAACTAGACACTAACCCTTTATGCCCTAACATCAGTATGCATATTCTCCATACTGTTTTTTATACATTTCCTAAGGTGTTGACAAGGAGAATTTGTGTACTGATCAAAAGCTTTTTTTTTCATTGGTGATCATTTCCTTTATTCTCATGACCTTAATGTGTGATTCAGGGGTGATATTGAAGGGAGAAATTAGATACTAGTCACTCTTAGGGTTTTAAAGGGTTAAATGAGTATAGGCAAACTCTCAGGAAATCCTGTTTCAATGTAGAGGGATAACCTTCAATGGACTCCTATCTCATCAAGGATAAGTAATAAGACTATTAGGTGCCACTTACCTTCTCTTTTTAACCCTTTAATTCCCATGAGTGATAAAGATATAATTTTTCCCTGCAATACCAATACAATATCAGGCAGATAAGTGATGGGAATGAAGAAAATTACCAATTAGGGGATTCGTAGGAGATCCAATATCAAATTCTACAAACTAACATACTAATAATTGTATAGAAGACAGTGAGGAGAAGTACTAATGAGACTTAGGGAGTGTAAGGACTAATGGATATACAATGGGAGGGTGTTTTCCAACTGTTTTCACATGTTCATTGTAACTGTCTGAAAATGGGCCTGAAATAAGATTCAGCTGGTGTGCAATATTGCTCAAGACTATTTGTTTGAAATGTTTTTTCAAAAAAATTAAACTTACAGCATCTGTGATTTACTTGTAAAGTTTTGTGGGTCAAAGCATTCAGAGTCATTATTACTGCAGCAGTTAGTGAAACAAGAGCCATCTTGGCTTTTTGTATTTCATTTACCAGAATTCACAAGAACAGGGTGTGACTAGCAGCAATGGTGTTGTTGACCATGAAAAAAGCAATGGATCATCTTTTCAAAGTAATGCTGAAGACCAATGCAATGGAGATTCTACAAAACACACAGTAAAAGAAAAGAATCACGAAGTTGATGACGGCAATGTTGAACAGAACTCAAAAGATAGGAGAGATAAAAAGACTAAAAAACACAAGGAAAGGAAAAAATTTAAAGACATTGACTCTTTTGAAAGTGAGCAGAGAATAAAGGAGAAGAAATACAAAAGCAACTCACATGGGAATGCAGAAGAGTCAGATAAACTTGTTGATACTGAAAATGAACAGAAAAGAAAAAGAAAAAGAAATGAAGAGGAAGATGGTAAAGGTGAGTCTCTGAAATGAAGCTCCTCAGACTTCATTTTCTTATGTCCATTACTGTAGAACCAAGCCATCAGAGCAGTGACCTTACAGCACACTGAAGTAACATACGTGTAAGGTGGAGCCAAAGAATCAATATGGGAATGATATTTTTTTCTGCAGAAATCTATCAAAAAGTGGATGACTTAACAAGTGTAGTCTATTTCAAGGTGTAAAAGGTCATGTTTCTCTGATTTCCAATTGTCTGATTTTGATTAATTTAATTGCTCTGCTTTTAACTCTTTAACTCCCATAAGTGACCATAAGAGAATTTCACCCTACAACCAGATAAGTGATGAGAATAAAGAAGAATATCAATTTGGGGATAATTAGTTGATCCAATACTAAATTCTCTGAACTAACATTATGAGAACTGTATGGTTGACATTAAGGAGAATAAAAATTTGATCTGGGAGGTAAAGGGTTAAGCCATGAAATGTCTTTCACCAATACCAAATGATAGAAGCATAGAATTTAGGGGAGGGGTTGGTGGGTAGAAGTGTGGAGTAAGGTCACTGCTTGATA